ATATATATGTAAAATTTATTCAACTAAAAAGATCGATTAATTCTTTTCTTTCAAATTCAAATTTTTAAAATATAACTTCTAAACATTGAACAAATTTTACAAATTTTATTGCATTAATTTTAATAAAAGAATAATAATTTTATTGCTAATTTAAAACATTTATTCTAGTGAATAATTTTCAGTCTCACGAATTAAATGTAAGAGTTAAGAATTCTAAAATTTTAAATAATCGAATTGTTATTAGTGATTAAACATTGAAAATTTCATAGCTAAATAATTATCGTATCATTTATCATTTCCTTCTTTCAAACTTATCTTTCCTTCATGGATCAATGATTTTCATATCATTTATCATTTTCCTCTTTTAAACTTATCTTTTCCCCTCTTCTTTGTTTTTCTTTTCCTTTTTCTCCTTTTCCCTTCCCTTAAATTTTTCTTTTCTCTTTAAACTTATCTTTTTTTTTCTTTGAATCAATGATTGCCATATCATTTATCATTCCCTTCTTTTAAACTTACCTTACTTTTATAAGTAAAGCAGTTGAAAAATTCATGAAAGTTAATTCATTGATATAAACTAATGATTTATATCCAGATAAACATTAATTATTACTAGTTTTTTTTTTTTTTTTAAAAAACGCATATCTTGATTTTACACGTTTTGCGCATAATTCTACGTCGTTTTTAGCGCCAATATTGTTAGGCATTACATAGATAAATTTTGATAAATGTAATTAATGTAATGATAAAATTTAGCTAATTAATGCTAACTTAGCTGGCTAAATTTAGCAAATAAAATTTAGCAATAAATAAATTTATGCTTTATAACTTTTAAAATTTTAAAACTTTATTTTCTCCAAAAACTTTTTATTAATGTAATATCGATTGTTATCAACAAATGCAATGGAAGAATTATTTATTCTTTAAATCATTAAAATACGATAGAAAATAAGCAAAAGCTACAAAAATGAACGAAATGAAAGGACAAGAGAAAAAGCAATAATTAATTAGAATATGCGATGATTAATTAATTCGTTCGTTTTCTTTTTCAATAAACAATGCTAATTAATTCATATTTATTTTTAGTAAAACAAAAAAAAAAAGAAGGGAAAAAAGGGAAAATAAAGGTAGGATTGAAAGGTATACAATGAGAAGTAGGCAATTATAGAGTATAATAAATGTGAGGGATTGAATTTCTTACTTAATTAAATATTTAAAAAGGAAAAGAAAAACTATAAATTATAAAATAAATAATGTTAAAAGTTACAAATAAAATTAAAAATGATCGAAATCGAAATTTGATAATAAAATATTAATTAAAATAAGAGCATAGATTGCATTCATTTTCATTGTTTGTAATAAAACTATTGAAGTAATTAACGATCAATGGATTAATTAATCAATCATTCATTTACATAATACTTTAAAAAATTAAATTATAAAGGTCTGTATGAAAATTGAATGAGTTTAAATTTAAAATAAAAATAATTACCAAATTTCACTAGTAATGACATGAAACTGACATGTAATTAATTCATAATTAATTTTTCCTCCTAATAATTTGTTAAAGAATGAAGAAAAAAAAAGTCAAACGATTCGTCTCTTAGCAGGTATCAATAAATTATATATCAGAGTGATTTGAAATTGGAAATGAAATTTTCATTTTCGATCTAAATCTTATTAATGAAATATTTGAATTTCAAATGGATACATTAATGAAAAGGAAGAAAGATGGAAAAAGAAAAATGAATATAAAATAGCAAAATGGAAAATAAAAAGACGAAAAGGAAAGAGATTAAAAAAGAGAAAATGAAATAATGGATGATCGATATTTCAATTAGTTAAAAATTATGAAACGATCAATATTTGACGATGATGAAACAAGCATGTATCAAACCAGGTATATAGCCAAGTAACGTTAGCAGGATATTAATGGCCAAAGCGCTACCGCAGCCTTTCTCAAGAAATACACCAATAGGCTGAAAAAATATAAATATTTAGTTTTTTAAAAAAAAAAAGAATTAAGTCAAAAATTAAATTTTTCGAAAAATAATTTGAATGTAATGATTTGAAGGATGGAAATAAAATAAATAAAATATATTATAATAGATTGGAACAGAAATATGTTTATACACATATTATATATATACATATATATATATATATATTTAAATTATTTAGTTGAAATAAAAAAAATAAAAGAAGACACTTACAGGTATAATTAAGGAGCAGCATATTTTAGGGCAGTCAGAACAGGTCAGTGGCATTTTTTCGTTAGCGATGAATGATAAAATGTGAAGAATAAATTAAAACTTATCACGATTATCACGATTCTTAGCTTATCTGTAAATTATCATTCATGATAATAAATGAATAAATTAAAAGTAATTACGATTATCACGATTCTTGCCTTATCCGCAAATTATCATACATGATAATAAATGAATAAATTAAACCCTGATCACCATTATCACGATTCTTAGCTTATCTGTAAATTATCATTCATAATAATTAATGCACAAATTAAAAGGTAATTACGACTATCACGACTCTTAACATATCTGTAAACTATCATATATGATAAAAAATGTATAAATTGAACCTGATCACCATTACCAACGATTCTTAGCTTATTTATAAGTTATCGACTATCACGATTTGAAGGATATGATAATAAAATATATATGATATATATGATAATAAAATAATATATATGATAATAATATATATGATGATAAAATAAATAAGTATATATATATATATATATATATATATATATTTCAAAAATCATAGTTCAATGATAACGCTATAATATATTTAAAGCATAATGATAAAAATAATGTTAATTTAATACAATTTTGCAATAATACGATGATAATTTTGAAAGTTAAAAAGAGAGAAATTTGAACTTTCATAGAAAAAGAAAAAAAACTAACACTTTATATAAATGTAAGCTATTGTTAGTTAATGCAACAAGAAAAGCGAAAAAATTCAAACGCTTCAATAAATTATTTCTTCACAAAGTAAAAAATGTTAAGCAAAAACAAAAAAAAGTAAAAAAAAATTTAACATTACGATGAATTTTTATTTATTTGCAAAAGAAAATGATAAAATGAAAAATTTTTTTTTCCTTTGATTAAATAAAAAATGTGAAATAAAATAGAAATAAGCATGATAAAATGTAAAAATTATTAGCAGCAAAAAGTAAATATTACAAATTTTTTTAATCAATCAAGCAACAATAATGATAATCTGAAAATAAATTTTATGAACATTTCAAAAATCATCTTATCATTAATTTATTAATTAGAAATAAAACTTTGAAAAATTTGGCAGTAATTCTTGATTCAAGAATGAAATTGTTTTAATTTTTTGCTTATTTTATTGTTTTTTTTTTTTTTTTTGTCTTTCGATACTTACAGTATGAAAAAGAATTCTTTCTTTCGATCTTTCGAATCCCATATTTTACATTATCAAATAATT